GTTGTAACAACCATTTTATTTCAAAATGAGTTTGAAATTTTGTCTTTTATGAATAGTTGAAACTGGTAAAGCATGGTTTACTTTTACCTTTTTTTTTTTCCAAATTCTTTTCTTTTTTATCGGATTTTTAAATCCTATATGTTTCTGCTCTTTTTCTTTGTACTTTCAGCACAGCTTTTATGCTTTCCATCTCTGTCTTTAAGTTTAGGTGAAATTTTCTTTCATATTTTGTTCGTCCATCTCCATCTTGAAAATGAAATTTAGTGTTGAATCTTTGTCATTAGGGCATTTTTTTTGTGTTGAATATAACAATGGTTTTATTTATTTTGTAAGGACACACTTCAACTCTTTTGTTCCTATTTAAAAAATTCATGCCTCAATACTTATTTCATAATCTTTAAATAGCTTGTTGTTTTATTCTAATGTCAGTAAAAAAAAAAAAAAATCTCAGATGAAACTGCTTCAAAGCGGCATGGTTGTAGTATTTTCATTTGCACCTCCGTTTCATACAGTTCTATGTTTTTGCATGCCAATACTCTTTTTTTGTGGTAACACGAAATTTATGTCTAAATGAATTTGAAATTTGATAGTGACAAAGCCTTCTTTACTTTTACTTTTTTCCCCCCCAAATTCTTTGCTTCTTTGTCAGCTTTTCAAATCCTATACGTTTCCCCTCTTATCCTTTGTTCTCTCCACATCTTTTATGCTTTCCATCTCTATCTTTAAGTTCATGGTTAAATTTTCTTTACATATTTTCCGTCCTCCATTTCCAGCTTGAAAATCAGAAATTTTAGCGATGAAGCTTTGTTATTAGATCCTTTTATTTAATTTATTAAATATAACAATGGTTTCAATGATTACAAGAACACGCATCAACTCTTGTTCCTATTTATAAAATTTATGACACTATTTTGATTTTGTAATCTTCAATAGCTTGTTTTATTCTTCAAAGAATGGTTTACTTTCACTTCTTTTTTTTGTTCGAATTCTTCACTCCATTGTCAACTTTTTAAATCCTATACGTTTCCCCTCTTTTCCTTTGTACTTTGATTACACTATAGAGTTCTCAATTGCACCTCCTTTTCTTACAATTTTTTTTGTTTGCATGCAAATCTTCTTTTTTGTTGTAGTACACCAAAATTTATGTCAAATGATTGATATTTGAAAGTCACGAAGCATGTTGAACTTTTACTCTTTTTTGTTTTTCAAATTCTTTACTCCATTGTCATCTTTGTCAATCCTGTATGTTTCCCCTTTTTTTTTTATTAGTACTATCAGCATAGCTTTTATGTTTTCCATCTGTGTGTACATTCATGATTAAATTTTCTTTTCATATTTCTTCCTCCATTTCCATCTTGAAAATAAGAAATTTTGGAGATGAAGCTTTGTCACTATGGTGTCTTCTGGCTGCTTCTGAAAGGGTCCTTTTATTTTTATTTATTAAGTATAACAATGGTTTAAATGTTTTTGTAACACACTACAACTTTTTTTTTTGTTATTAAAAAAAATTCATATCATCATACTGGTTTCATAATCTTTCAAGAGCTAGTACTATTCAAGAGTCAATAAAAAAAATCTCAGATGAAACTTTTTCAAGATGGTGTGGTTGTAGTGTTCTCGACTGCACTGCCTTTTTTTTAACAGTTCTGTTTTTTTCCTTGCCAATGTTTCTTTTTGTGGCAACACCAAATTTGTGGCAAAATGAGTTTGAAATTGTCTTTTATTGAAATTTGAAAGTGACAAATCATGGTTTACTTTTACTCTTTTTCTTTGAATTCTTTACTCCATTGTCATTTTTTTCAATCCTATACGTTTCCCCCCAGCCCCCTTTTTCTTCTTATTTTCAACATATCACTACATTCAAGGTTAAATTTGGTTACCATATTTCCATGTTCCTCTATTTCTGATATCTTGAAATAGAAATTTAGTGATGAAACTTCATCACTACCTCGACTTGTTGCTGCTTCAGATTAGGTCCTTTTATTTTCATTTATTAAATATAACAATGGTTTCAATGATTTTGCAAAAGCACACTTCAATTCGGCTGTTGCTGTGAAAAAAAAAATTACCTCACAATCTTTCAATCAAAAAAATTTATATCCATGTTTTATGGATGAATCTGTATAATTTTTGGATTGTAGAGTGATTGATGTTTTATTTTTCAACTATAACTTTTGCGATAGATGATGATAGGTGCTCAAAATAACTAAAATAAGAACAACTCTATTAGGATGATATAGAACATGAATCTCGTTCTATATTTCTCTTAATAGCTACGCTCAGGAGAATCTCCAAAGGGTTTGAAAGACTATTTTATTGATAAGATGATATCCTAGCTTCTAAGTTGCTAGTCATATTTATAATGCTAAATACAATCTAAAATAATGAATAAAATCTAGATAACTAGATCACTAAATAATATCTCCTATAATCTAAAATACTAATAAAATCTGAATAGATAAAATACTGAATCTAAATAAATCTAAGGAATAAAATCTAACTAAATAAAATACTGAATCTAAAGAAATATCTAAAAATAAAATACTGAATAAAATAAACAATGAATAAGTCTTTACGGGAATATTATCTGGAATTTTATCATTACCCTCCCCTTGAAAACTCAACTTGTCCTCAAGTTGAAAAGAGGGAAATTGAGTATGCAAGAGATTATAGTCCTCCTAACTGGCCTCTTCCACAAGTTGGTTGTGCCATTCCACCAATAATTCAAGTGAATGATGACGAGTCCATTGATGATCTAAGATTTGGTGAGGCCTTACATGTAACTCAAAATTAGCAAAAAGCGGTAAGGGAGCTGGTGTGAGTGGCAGATCTATCCTTGTAGCTTTGCCCAAAAGAGATTTATGGAAGGTAGGGTGAATATGGGCATCTGCCGGCAGTTCTAATTGATAAGCCACTTTGCCAATCCTACGAAGAATCTTGTATAGGCCAAAGAAGCGAGGTGATAATTTTTTAAATTTCCGCTTGGTAAGTGATTGTTGGCGAAAAGGCTGTACTTGTAACCACACAACATCGTCAATATCATACTTGACTTCCCGCCAATGCTTGTTAGCAGAAGCCTTCATTTGGTCCTGAACCTTGCACAGATCATCCCTCAAGTCAAAAGCTTGAGCATTGCATCCTTGGTCTCTAGTTCTTCTTCTAGTTTAGCCACAGGTGTTTCACTCTTTATATAAGGAAGTAGAGGAGGAGGATCTCGCCTGTAAACCAACTTGAAGGGAGAATGGTTGGTTGATGTAGGATGACTTGTGTTGTATGAGTATTTAGCCTAGCAAAAAAATTTGTGCCAAGACTTGGGTTGCTCATGTGCAAAACACCACAGATAGGCTTTCAAACCGTAGTTGACTACCTCTATTTGACCAGTTGTTTGGGAATGGTAAGTAGTACTCATCTTTATTGGTCTGGCTTAATTTGAATAGCCAAAGGAACTGATGAAGATAGGGTCCCTATTAGAGACGATTGAGGGAGGCACCCTATGTCGTCGGATAATTTTCTCACAATAGATTGTAGCCACCTTAGTAGTGTAAGGATGCGCAAGAGCAAGAAAATGGGCATACTTACTCAAACGATCTACTACTACCAGAATGATCTCAAAACTGCCAGACTTTAGAAGACTTGTGATAAAATCTAGTGAGATGTCCTCCTAAATCTGCGAGGGTATAAGTAAAGGTTGAAGAAGTCTGGCTGTGCCAACGTTTGGTACTTATTTTGCTGATAAGTGGCATAATGTCACACATAGGCCTTCATATCTGCTTTCATAGTAGGCTAATAAAAATTCTCCAAAAGGCATTTAAATGTTTTAAGAAAGCTGCCATGTCCCGTAATAGTAGTAGAATGGGCTTCTACTCATAATTTTGGTCGCAGTTGTGATGAATAAGGAATGACCACTCGGTGATCAGAGAAAAGTTTTTGATTAACCATAGGAAATCTGGGTCGAGATGATGGATCTTTTTGCAAAGCATGCATTATTTCATTAGTGAAGGGATCTAATGTCAGCTCAAGGGAGAGGTCATCCAACTCAGAAGCGAAAGGTACGGCCAATTGAAAAAAATCTGCATGCTGTGGATGTCTTGAACAATGTGGCTGCCCTTTATTTTCTACTCCTGCCTTGTAGATGATAGTAAAATTAAAGGGTAAGAGCTTGATGATTAACCTCTATTGAGTATTAGTAGTGATCCGTTGTTGTAATAATTATTGAAGGCTAGCATGATTTGTTTTGACAAAGAAGTGCCTCCTTAAGAATTAAAGTTAGAAGTTTGCAATCGTAAGTAGACATGAAGTGTTTAGAGAAAGCGAACCCTTTATTGAAGTGAGCAATGGGATGGTTGTTTGCATAAGTATAGTTCCAATCCCTTTTATAGATGCATCACATTCAACTGTAAAGTCCTCCTCAAAATTGGGCAACTGTAAGACGGGTGCCATCATCAATGCAAGTTTAAGGCTGTCAAAGGCCTTGTAAGCTGGTTCAGACCATAAGAAGGCATCCTTCTTAGCCAATTCAGTAAGGGGTCATGCAATAATCTCGAAATTCTTCACAAAACATTGGTGATATCCTACAAGGCCTAAAAGCCCACGTAACTCCTTTACATTGTTAGGAATAGGCCATTCTCGTACTATCCCCACCTTTTCAGTCTCAACTTCAACTCCCTAGGTAGAAATTTGGTGCCTTAAAACGGGAACTTTTGGCTTCCACATAAAGCTTTTTTTTGTTGTTTTCAAATTGACACAAAATGCACTTTCCTGTAGGGTTTGCAAGATGATACGCAAGTGAGGTCAGTGCTGTTGAAAAGAGGGATTGTATATAAAAATATTATCAAAAAAGACCAGCACAAATTTTCTTAAATAGGGACAAAATAAATCGTTCATTGCTGCTTGAAAAGTGGCTAGAGCATTGGTTAAGCTGAAAGGCATAACTGTGAATTCATAATGCCTTGAATGAGTACGAAATGCTATTTTGTAAATATCCTCAAGTAACATCCTGATTTGGTGATATCCAAACACAAATCCAATTTGGAAAAATAGACTGCCCCATCTAATTCGTCTAGTAACTTGTCAATGTTGGGAATTGGACACTTGTCTGGGACTATAATGCCATTTAATTTTTAGTAATCAACACAAAAACACCACGAACCATCTTTCTTTGTGACCTATAAAATTGGCTGGTAAATGGACTTGAATTAGGCTGAATAAACCCTTTTTTAAGTAATTCCTCAACTTGCTTCTCAATCTCGGCTTTTTGATAATGTGAATACCTATATGGTCGTAAATTAGGAGGGTTGGCCCCTAGCAATAAGGGAATGGCATGTGAGTGATTTCTAAATGGTGGCAAGTTTGTGGGTTCTTCAAAACAAATGAAAATTCTACAAATAAATATTCCAGATTGAAACATTGGAAAGGTGTAAAGTTGGTGGAGGCTTCTATTTGTTGCGTTGAATTAAATTGAGCACCACTAGTAGTATTAAGGACTCCCTGTAGCTTATACCGCTTGCTATTTAACCATAAAATCATAAAAAGCTCATTTCAGTTGCCTTGCACCGTATTCAGAGATGCTAGCCACTTAATGCCCAGCATCAGATTGGCTCCTCCTAAGGAAAAAGGAAAAAAGTCTTCCTTAATAGTCAGTTCTGTGAGCTTAACTCCCATGTCTATGCATACTCGGTTGCAATGTACAATACTGCTATCCCCAATATGGACTCTAAATGCAGAAATATAATGAGTAGGAAGACACAGTTCTTGTACCAATGAGTTTGATATAAAATTATGAGTAAACCCACTATCCACTAATAATAGTGCTTCTCTTGTGAGCAGCATACCTTTAAGTTTCATAGTTAAACCTGTGTTGCTACCCAATATAGCATTTAATGAAATTTCTACCCCTTCTATCCTTATATCCTCAGGTTCACCGTCTTCAAGAGGAAGGGCAACTTTATCGCCTTCCTCTGTAATCTCCATGAGAGAGAAAGACCCACGACAGCAGTGCCCAGGTCGAAAGAGGTCACCATGGTAGAAACATAGGCCCTTGTCTCTCCTGCGTTGGTGTTCAAAATCCATGGAAAGAGTTTTTTGTCGACGCTACACTTGCTGATCTGGGGCCCGATGGCATTGACGCTGATGTTCTCTGCGAAGACGTCGAGAAAGGAACTTCAGAGTTCTTCTGGTCATGTGCCCCAGGTGTGCTCGGGTTGTGATAGCAAGTTTGGGTTTAGAGTAAGCTGGGTCTCTTCTGGGTAAGCTGCGTTTTGCTTTCGATCTCTAGAGCCAGACTTACTGCTCTGTGAACTGATCGTGGTTTATGGATTCTGACATCTGAGCATAATTCTTCTTTTAATCCATTCAAAAAAACATTGAGCAAGCAATGCTCTGGCTAATTCTTGACTCTCACCGATCGTTTGGCAAACTTTGTGCAATATTCTTGGACTGAACCTTCTTGCCTCATGCTGCAAAGAAATTCGTTTGGATTTTGGTATTCAAGTGGTCCGAAATTCTCTTGGAATGCTGTCACAAGCTCGTCCCAATAGTTAAGTGTTCGTTCGTGACTGATCCAGGTGAACTGTTCTAGTGTGTCACCCTCCAGTGCTAGTGAGGCTACGTCCACCTTCTCTTCTTCAAGTGTGTTGTAATACTTAAAGTACTTTTTAGCCTTTAAAAGCCATCCTTGTGGATCACCCTTACTAAACTTTGGAAATTCAATTTTGGTGCGATGAAATTTGGTGCATCTACGATTTTCTTATTGTCTTCGCTTTCTTCATCTTCATAATAGTGCCAAGTTTCTTGTTTTTATTGATTGCCAAGGCTTCAAGTGCTTCTACCTTTTCTTTTAATAAATCAAGAGTTTCGAGTTGCTGCACAATTTTGGCCAAATGATCTGACATAAGTGAGTTTGGATTTTTTGGGTCATTGTTGGATGAATTGTCAGAAGGGTTAATTTCTTGGCCAGTACGTGTGGTAACCATGGCTCTGATGCCAAATTGATAGGTGCTCAAAATAACTAAAATAAGAACAACTCTATTAGGATGATATAGAATGAGAATTTCGTTCTATATTTCTCTTAAGCCACATTCAGGAGAATCTCTAAAGGGTTTGAAAGACTATTTTATTGATAAGATAATATCCTAGCTTCTAAGTTGCTAGTCATATTTATAATGCTAAATACAATCTAAAATGATGAATAAAATCTAGATAACTAAATAATATCTCCTAAAATCTAAAATGCTAAATAAAATTTGAATAGATAAAATGCTGAATCTAAATAAAATCTAAAGAATAAAATCTGACTAAATAAAATACTGAATCTAAAGAAATGTCTAAAAATAAAATACTAAATAAAATAAACAATGAAATCAATCCTAATTTATTTTCTGATGCTCCTTTCTTAAATAAGTCTTTACGGGAATATTATCTGGAATCTTATCAAATGAGTGGTTTCCAGTTGCAATAAACAAGTATTCATTATCCTTGTGGTTGGAGAAACATAGATAATATTGAATAATTTAATTTAAAAATGAGAAAATGATTAATTTAACTCATATTCTTTAGTAGTTCTTCCTCTTTGAAAATTTTGTAAAGATATGTCTGAACTTGTAGAATGCTAAGTCTACTCTTGGCTGCGTAAGATGTGTAAAGGAAGATTCTATAATTTGCCATGGTTTTGTTTAAACTTGACCCTCATCATTAAGTATCTTAAGGTTTAGTTAAAGATTTAATTTGACTTATTGGTATTGTTTACATTGATTTGTACACCTAATAAAAAATCGAAAAAAAAAATACACTTGTGGTGTTATGCACTTGTGCTAAAAAAGGGGATTGGTCCCCACATCAGAAAGGTGGCGCTAGACCATAGCATTGAGGGCAATACGCTGCAACAGACCTTTAGACTGCTCTGACATGGCAAATTCCTGTACGGTTCAGGGAGTAATTTAGGAAAAAGATTATGTTAGAGAGGGTGCGGAGAATTTTGTTGTTGTTCCCCTTCTTTATTTCTCTATTTGATTTCCTTGGTTAATCTGTAATGTTGTTTCATTGTAATAGTGCTGTGACTCTGTGTGGCTGAAATCTTGTTGAAACTTATGCACAACAGAATTTTCAGCCAAGAAATTGACAGTGGTTTGAGAATATTTTGCTTATTATTTTTGAAGTTGCAGGACACCCATATCATTTGGTGCTTTCGTTGATTTTCTATGGCTGACAGGATTTGCCTTAAGAAGATTCTGGCAGGCCTAAAACATCTTTCTGATGAAGTGGCTGTTTGTGACAAACGTGAAGTTGATACTAACTTACGTTTGGAGCGAGTCAAAGCAAACCTGGAATTTATTTCTAGCCATTTGGAACTATAGACTCCAACTATTGATCACAGCCCTCATATTTTTGGCCCAGAAGGTTTGAACTCATCGGGTGGGGATCCTACTCATATATCTCTGAATATAATCCCTAATGGTCAGAGGAAACAAATGAAGCTAGATTTTCTGTATTTCAACAGTAAATATCCATTAACTTGGATTTTCAGGTTTGAACAGTTCTTTACTTATAATACTCCAGATTTGGAACAGTTATTGCTTCTTTGCATTTTGAGGGCTCTGTTGTCCCTTGGTTCTAGATGTTAAAACAAGCTCAATAGGTCCCTATGTGGGCACTGTAAGTGTGTGTCATTAAAGAACAATTTGGGCCTTTCCCAGACGCGACTATTCAAACTGGCCCAAACAACTTCTGTTGCTCAATATTATAGAGTTTATGGTATTGGATTGGCAAACCCAAACAGTGGGTCTATCTCCTGAGGCTTTTCGCGATTGTTCCTTCAGTTTAGGGAGGTTTTGGCCCATTCTCCTCGTACACTGTTGCAAGCAGTTTCCCTGACGTGAGTATTTAATCAAAAGGCTTCTTTAGGCCTCCTTCCTTCATCCCATTTGAAGCCCTCTACCCTAGTCACACCTACGAAGCCCCTTCCATCGTTCATGATTTCTGTGACATGAATTTATATGATGGTGGTACGTGTAGATTATATTAGCTCTGGAAGGACACACATCATCGGAGGATTTGATTGATGCGGGTATACCTCCTCATGATTTTTATTAGTCAGCGATGCAAATGCAATACCAAAAAGCCAGCATGGTGTGGCGACGTGCTTTTGGGATATCGCTCATAAGATATGTTGAATTCTAAGATCTTTGGTTGAATCAGATTCCAGAGCTTTTAAGATATGTTGAAATATGATTCAAAACTCATATTTATACTAACGTGCAGACTCTCGAATTTTAATTTGTTATTCATCTAAAATTTCTTTTACTCTCGGCCATCGGTCTAAAGTCAACAGAGGAGTCATGTGTTTAATGCGCCGGAGATCGACAATGCAACTCTCTTCTACAAATGGTAACTGGAAGCTGACTCTCCCACGTGTAGAAGCTTAGAAATGGTACAATTCATTATGACAAGCATGTATTCGGGATTAATCTGTCTTAAACCCCTTTATACCAGCAACCAGGAAAGCAAGAGTCTGAAAGATGACGAGAGCAGCTCAGGAGCATCAACTCAAGACCCATTAACAGGGTCGAGGAGTGGGGGCTGGCGTGGGCCATGATTGATTCCTGAGTTTTTTATTTTTCTTGATATTGCATAGATATTATATATTTTCAACTACCTAAGATTTATGTAATCTTTATAATATATTATATGATATGCCTTTTAATTTCTACTCCCTCACTTTTAAATTTTGGCTTCCCCCTTGTCTATAAACAATGGGTACAAACCATCCCCTCAGATGCGTCGTATGTCTCCTTTGCTTCACTTGTGATGCCAAGTACTTTGCCTCTCATCGTCGCCCTCACAAAAAGTTAATGCTATTACTCACAGGTGCGGGTGAAATGACTCATCTATACCAACTCCGGTTGTCACTAAATTAACGATCGAAGAACCCATATCAAGCTTCCAGCATTTATCTCTCCAAGCATTTGAGGGTACACCAAGAACTTCAACAACTAGGTTTGTGGGTTATATTAATGGCTTCCAAGTTAGTATTTTCCTTGATAGGGTTAGCTTCGATAGTTTTTTCAACTTTGGGCAGCACGACATTTGGGTCTACCAATTGAACTGGTGTCTTGTCTAAAAGTGAGTGGGTGATGGTTATTTTTTGCATTTGAAAGGTTTGATTCATTCCCTTCCTCTTTCTACCGGTAATCATTCTACTATTTTACTCGTATGTGTTGTACCCAATTTTGGTTGTGATGTGGTTGTTCTGCTTCTTGGCTTGAAACCAGTGTTATGAAAATTAGACTTTAAAATATATACATATATACATAATTAATAAATATTTCTTGCATTTTTTTCATTTCATCATACTTGTTGGGTATAAATATGTATAAATTATATTTTAGAAATATGAATTAAAAAATAAAAAACAAAAAAGTAACATGGCCATTTCAATTCTAGTGAAATGGCCATGTATAAATATGATGACAGTGCTTGAAACATTGGGTCCTAATATTTTTTTATTATCACTCCAAGTATTATTCAATTCCAGTGGGGGGATGAGGTCATTATTAATGTTTTTAGAACCAAATTGGATATTGAATCGAAAAGGCCAATTGTTCAAAATTCGCATGGTTCAACCAATAGTCGAACTGGTGACGTAATAATTAAATAAAAATAATATTTAATGTATATATATGAAATAAATACAAGAAAAAAATTTATAGTATGTTAATAAAATGACATAACATAACTGTAAATTAATAACATTTAAATTATAACTTTATAACTAGTCAAATATAGGTGGGTTTTGGTTAAATTAGACATGAGTAGATTTAAAAATATTTATATTTGCATATATAATTGTCAACATCTTTATTAAAAAAATGATCTCAAATCATATTTTATACATGTGAATTATTCAAAAATAATGTCTCTTAGTAAGATCTAATTTTAGAATTTTTCTAGTTTTGTTAAATTTTTTTGAGCTTTTTTTTATGTTTAAAACCATCCTTTTTTTTTTTTTTTGAAAACTGCTCTAGTTTCCAGATTAACTCTAATTTTCAAATTCAAATTTTCAACTTCGATCTAATTTGGAAAAATAATGAAAATAATTTTTTGGTCCAAACCAAGCTATTGTTGGCTCTAGTTGGTAGTCTAATTTTTAAATCATTGATCATTACTCTTCAAGGCATCACTGAAATTGGTGTTTCTGATGTAACACTTCATTGTTTTAGACATGGATGCTATAGATACAGTATACACTGTCCAGTGTTTTTCCTTGCAATCCGCTCTGGTCCCTAAGTTGGATATTCCTTTAAATTTTTTAAGCTGATTTGCGAAGCTTTATTGTGCATTATGCTTCTGTTTTTGCTGTGCTGAAGGGGCTACCACCAGTTTGTTCCAAGAGACCACTCCATTCCTTTACAGGAACGAACCACTGCAGTTAAGATAGACCATTTAGATACCCATTTTCTCAGAAGAGTGAAATTGAGCGTATGGTACAAGGCGTGCACAGGGATTGATTCAGGAAAGCAACAACCCATTTTCTGCCCCTGTTTTACTAGTTAAGAAGAAAGATGGTACATGGTATTTTTGTATGGATTATCAAGCCTTAAACTCTCTAACTATTAAGTATTTGTTTCCTATTCCCATGGTGGATGGGTTATTAAATGAGTTGCATGGATAACAATTTTTTTCTAAGCTCGATCTTCATGCAGGATATCAAATCTTGGTGCGCGAAGAGGATTGTCATAAAACAACTTCTAGAACTCACAATGGGCGATATGAATGGGTTGTCCTGCTTTTGGTCTTACCAATGCCCTGGACACATCCCAAGCCTAAAATGAATGTAATGTGTCCCAAACCAGAATCACAGCAAAGAGTAATAAATAAGACAGCAACAGCAATTAATATGAGAGGAAAATACTTAGGTTTTGATATTAATGAGATGAATAACCGAATCAGATGTACATGGGAACTCTGATTCTGGCCCAAAACCCTATTTCCCCTAGAAGATGATAAAACACTCTAGCAACACAGATTACAAGCTTCCATACAAGAGTCTCACTCCCATTGGCATTCAAGAGGCCAATCTCTCCTTACTATTCCAGTCTCCTTCTTCTTCTAAGCCCTCCCTTCCTAAACAAAAGACTACTAATACCTTCAGTGACTGACACATCGCCCATACTACCCAAAAGATCCCAATCATTACAAAAGATCACAAAATACTGTTCCTTACGGCTATGGACTGAAGGGTAAACTTCTAGACTGGTTCAAGTATTTCCACTAGAGTTATTCTTCCCCTTTGACTTCCTCTGATATGTCTTAAGAAAATAACGGGCCCTATCATCACCCTCCCCTAAGAGCTCCACCTTGTCCTCAAGGGGAAAAGTTGGAAACTGTGTGCAAATTGTTTCTGCACATTCCCAAGAGTTCTCAAATTCAAGTAATCCTTGCCATTTAACCAACACTTCTCGCTGTCCATTCATAAGCCGGCGCACCTTCCTAATATCTTGAGGCTGCACTTGTAATTCAAACTCATTAGAAAGCATCGGAGGGATGGTAGGCTGTGCCATAGCAGCTGAAACCGTTTGCTTGAGCTGAGAAACATGAAATACAGGGTGAATGCGGGCGGTGGTTGGAAGTTCCAGCTTGTAGGCCACTGTTTCGATCTTCTCAAGAACCTTGAAAGGTCCATAAAAACGTGGGCTGAGCTTCTCATTGCTCCTCTTGGCTAAGGTCTTTAGTCGATAAGGGCGAAGCTTCACATAAACAAAGTCCCCAATCTCAAATTGCACGTCCCGGCGATGCTTATCAGCTTGCGCCTTCATTTTACTTTGAGCCTTAGCTAAATTGTCCCTTAATTGTTCAATGATCTGATTTCGAGCTTGAATCTGTTCATTCACATCTTCCACAACTGAAGGTTCGCCACTAAATTTCAGAAATGTGGGTGGATCCCGGCCATATACCGCCTTGAAAGGTGTCATGCCAGCCGCACTGTGGAATGAAGTATTGTACCAATATTCCGCCCAAGACAACCATTTAGCCCATTGAGTTGGTTTTTCATTAGCAAAACAGCGCAAGTAAGTCTCCAAACTCCTATTTAATACTTCCGTCTGTCCATCCGTTTCCGGATGATACGATGAGCTAAGGCAAAGTTGGGTTCCAGCTTGCTTGAACAATTCTTGCCAAAATTGGCTAATAAAAATTCTGTCTCGATCTGAAACTATGGTTTTAGGGAAACCATGCAACTTCACAACCTCATTCACAAACTTTTCAGCAACATCCTTTGCAGAAAAAGGGTGGGCAAGAGTGAAAAAATGAGCATATTTGGTGAGTCTATCCACTACCACTAGAATGGTGTCGTACCTTTTTGATTTAGGAAGCCCGGTAATGAAATCCATGCTAATGTCTTCCCAAATGTTTTGAGGAATGGTCAACGGCTGTAACAGACCAGCAGGAGTTAGCGCTTGATATTTATTCTTTTGACAAATCTCACAACTCGCCACATATTGCTGAACATCCCTTTTAATTCCTTCCCAATACACCACATTGGATAGCCTCTTGTAGGTGCGTAAGTAGCCCGAATGCCCCCCTATTGGAGAATCATGATATTCCTTCAATAACAAGGGAATTCTGGTGGAATTTTTTGGTAAGACTAACCTCTCTTTATAGTGTAGGCAGCCATGAACTAAGCTGTACCCTTCCACCCCAGTTTTATCAGTTAGGAGTTGCTGTAGAATTTTGCTCAGTTTCGGGTCTGCTTGCACCTCCTTCTCCCATTCTTCCACATCATTATATTGCCATAATGAGAACCCCATAGTTCTAGTGATTCTTCTCGTCTGGATAGGGCATCAGCAACCCTATTCTCTTTTCCGGGCTTGTAAATAATCTCAAACTTGAAGCCCATTAATTTTGACACCCATTTCTGCTGGTTCTCATCAACCACCCTCTGCTCCAGCAAGTACTTTAGTGCTTTTTGATCTGTACGGATGATAAATTTATGCCCCCAAAGGTAATGGCGCCATTTTTTAACTGCCATAACAATAGCCATGAGCTCTTTTTCATAAATAGAGCATTGTTGGGCTCTATGTGAGAGCTTTTGGCTAAAATATGTCACTGGTCTGCCTTGTTGCATCAAAACTGCCCCTATTCCGGTACCAGACGCATCAGTCTCAAGCTCAAAAGGAATGGTAAAATCGGGCATTGCGAGCACGGTTAGTGAAGTCATGGCAGTTTTGAGCTGTTCAAATGCCTTTTCCGCTTCCACTGACCACTTGAAAGAATCCTTTTTAAGTAAATCAGTAAGGGGGCTAGCAATCTTCCCATAGTTCTTGACAAATCGACGATAATACCCGGTCAGCCCAAGGAAACCCCTCAAAGACTTCACATTCTTAGGCTTTGGCCATTTCATCATGCTCTCTATCTTAGCGGGATCAGCTTGAACTCCTTCTCTTGATATCAGATGCCCCAAGTATTCAATCTTGGGTTGTACGAAACTACATTTCTTCAAATTAATCACAAGCTGATTTTCCTTTAAGATAGCAAATACATTCTCCAAATGCTTTAAATGAGTGGTTAAGTCATCACTATATATGAGAATGTCATCAAAAAATACCAATACAAACTTGCGTAAATACTCCCTGAATACCTCATTCATCAAGGATTGGAATGTTGAGGGAGCGTTGGTTAATCCAAAGGGCATCACCTTGAACTCATAATGTCCTTCATGTGTTCTGAATGCTGTTTTGTGTTCATCCCCAGCCTTAATCCGAATTTGGTGGTATCCAGACTTCAAATCCAGCTTGGAGAAAATTTTGGCTCCCTTCAATTCATCCAATAGTTCATCTATGGCTGGAATAGGAAATTTATCCGGGATTGTAATTTTGTTTAAGGCCCTATAATCAACACAAAACCTCCAACTTCCATCTTTCTTCCTGACCAACAACACTGGACTTGAGTAGGGGCTGTTGCTTGGCTGAATAATTCCAGCCTGTAACATGTCCTTCACCAAACCTTCTATTTCGTTTTTTTGCATATGGGGGTATCGATAGGGCCTTATGTTCGGTGGCTGCTCTCCAGGTTTAATAGAATAGCATGATCTTGTGGACGGGCTGGAGGCAGGCCTTCAATAACTTGGTAGACAGTAGGATATTTCTCCAATAACTCCTGAATTTCAGGAGAGAAAATGAAAGTACTTTCATTGCTGCCCGTGAGCCCACTATATTCAATTAGAAACCCCTCTCCTTTCTTTCCTACAGAGCGAATTAGTGACCTGAAAGTAGCTTGAGCCCGAGTGAGAGATGGATCACCCTGTAAGCAAATTCTCTTTTCTTTCTTGCCAATCTTCATTGTTAACTCGCTCCAATTGACCTTCACATCCCCCAGGGATTTCAACCACTCCATTCCCAAGACTGCATCAACCCCTTTCAACGTGAAAGGATAGAAGGTTTGAATGATTTGGTACCCCTGGACACTCAAACAGAGGTCCTTACACCTTTTCCTCCCTTTTACAACAAACCCATCACCCACTGTAACTGTATATTCAGAAATCTCATCAAAAGGTAATTTCAATTTACTCTGCAGATTTTCAGCTATGAAGTTATGGGTAGCGCCACTGTCAATCAGAATTATCACTTCAGTGCCTCCGATCCTCCCTTTAACCTTCATAGTGTGATTATCGCCGAATCCTCCCATGGAATTGAGAGATAATTCCATCTGTGCCCCTTCATCAGCATTTTCGAATTCCCCTCCTTCAAGTTCAGCCTCTGCGTCATCTTCCTCTCTCTCCTTTTCTGCCCCCATCTCCATTATCAGTACCTGAAGGTTCTTGTTTTTGCACTGGTGGGTCGGGCTGTATTTATCTCCACACTTGAAACACAGTCCTAACTCACGTCGCCTTGCAATCTCAGCGTCAGAGAGTCGTCGTGAGTTTCCCGTCCTCTTCGTCGACGATCCCCAATTCGAAATGCTCGCAGCCTTGGAATGCTCTGTTTTCGTATCCGTTTTCTTCGAATTTTCGGCAGCTGAAGACGTTGCAGTGTGCGTGTTGCGATTCCCTTCAGTCACGTGCGCAACTCGTGTGGAATAAATGGGTTGAAGCGTTTCGGGTTTGGGCCCAAACTGAGGACGTTGGGTTCGGGTGATCCGGGTTTCTCTACAATCTCCAAGTATCCGATTCCTCTCCTCTATACACACCGCCATCTCCATCAGCTCTCGCAGTGTCGGAGTTTTCGTTAACTTCAACTCAGCTCTGATCTCTGGTTTTAACCCAGAACGGAACGCACCGATCAAGCATTCTTCAGAGGCCTCCTTCAGCGGCGCAGATAAGAGCTCGAATTCTTCAACAAATTCCAGCACCGTCCTGTCCTGTTTGGATGTGAACAATCGCTCATATTCCCCCCCTGGCTGAGAAGAGTGAAACCTGCGTAGCAGCTCACTCTTGAACTCCGTCCAGTGACTCAGAGGTATCCTGGTCTCCAGCCATTGGTACCAGTTTAATGCCTTTCCCTCAAGACATACCACCACAGCCTCAAGCTTATCTCGTTCTGCAATGGAGTTAACATGGAAATATCTCTCCACCCGAAAAAGCCATCCTAGCGGGTCCTCGCCTGAAAAAACAGGTAATTCTAACTTTCTATATTTGCTTCCGTCTGTATCACCGCCTGGGTTGCTCACCGAAACCTCCTCATGACCTTCCT